GCCCAGCCCCAAGCCTGCAGAGCACGGGAAGGATGGAACCCCACGGACCGCAGCCTTTGGTGACACGGACCGGGAGAACGGTGCCTCTTCCAGCTGAGTTTTTCTCCGAGCTGCTCTGCGTAAGCGATGGCGGCAAACCAAGTCTCTGTCCGGTTTGTGCTTTGAGTTGGGAACCGTTCGGTTCGGGCTTTTCCCCAGCATCTTCCCACAACGCTGTTCATTCTGGCTGAGATAAACCGTGCACAAAGTCCTGCGGTGCCTGTGCTTGCCTGTCACCCCCGCACCCTGGGGACAAGTCCCCAGTTCAGCCTTTAAAAGAGCCAGGGTCGTGGTGGTTGGACCTTCCATCTTGCCGGCGTGGGGAAGCTCCATCCCGGTGGCAGCATCCCCAGGGGAGCTGCTGGGGTGAACCGGGTTCTGCCACATCCATGTCCCCTCTGGAGCCCAGCTTCCCTCCCGTTGACCCCACAATCCACACGAGGGTCCTGGACTCCCACTGCTCCCACCCCAAGGCTCGCTACTGAGACCATCTGCAGAGCTTTGCTCTCCAAAGACCATCAGGAAATCACGGGCAATTCATGGTGGGGGCTGCTGGGAGGTGGTTTAAGTGGGATAGCACAGCCACAAGGATGGGCTCCCTCCAGAAGGAGGATGCTTGGGGGTCTGGTGCCACACTGTGGGGGGGGTCACCCCAGAGATTGTGCCCTTGGTGGCCTCATCAGCCAGGCGGGGCTGGGCTGGGAGGGGTGGTGGGTAAAAGGAAGGGGGGGCCGCGGGGTTTAATGTGGGAAGGGGGACCGAGTTCCCCCCTGCCCCATTGCGGTGAGGTCTGCCGAAGCCGTGCCGTGGCCCAGCAGTGCCCGGGGTGCTGGTCATCCCACCCAGTTCACCTCCGGCCAGCACCCCTGCATCACCCCGGGGAGATGCAACCCGAACCAAGCCAGAAATTACCCCAGCGGGAGAGCCCCCTGCGCCCGTGCGCTCCCAGCTCTGCAGGAAGAACCTGGTGTGTCTCGGGGCATGGAAGAAGAGAGCAGATGCTCTGTAAGCAGGGTCCTGCACCTGGGGAGGAACAACCCCAGGCACCAGTACAGGCTGGGGCTGAGCTGCTGGAGAGCAGCTCTGCGGAGAGGGACTGGGAGTGCTGGGGGACGACAGGGTGACCATGAGCCAGCAGCGTGCCCTGGGTGCCAAGAAGGCCAATGGGATCCTGGGGTGCATCA